TTGTGTTAACCACAGACACTATTTAGGCATCTAACCAGAAACCCGTTCACGTCTTTAAAATGTCAAGCTATTAACTCAAGAGTTTCAAACAAAACATGCACCCAGGTTTGTGTAGGCCATCTGAGTGAGGAGCTAAAATACAACAAATAGATTTCTGGACAACAGATTATTTTCAAGGAAATTTTGGCAATTTTAATCAATTTCCAGGTGTTTCCATGACTGGAAAACTAGTTCTCAATTTTCCGATTTTCCAGGACTGCGTGGGAACCCTGTATACGCCTACAAGCATTCTAATCTGCTGTAATGCCATAGGAAGAACAACAACACATTGAAGATGCCAACAATTGCAGCTGCAGCTAAAGCTCCACCTCGATTGTCGAAAAGAAAAAACACAAACGTGTTCTCACAGGTTGGAAATATTCTGTTTGGTTCAGGCAATGGGTCACAGGAGTTTTTGCGTTGATATCAACCCAAACTAAGTCTCAAAAAGACCATAAACCATAAAACTGTGATAGAAACGAAGGACGGAGGGATGCTTCGCGGTGCCCTGGGATTTTATAACTGAACTATGAGCAGGATGCATGGACTGTGTGGAAATCTGATGTTTTCAAAATGAGACTCATGTAGTTTGATATTGATTGGCTGATAGTGATTTTGTTTTTACTGTGGTATCGTATTGGGTATTAAGAATCATGGAATTTCACCGGTGTTGGTATCGACTCCTACATATCTAGTATCATGACATCCCTACTGCCAGGAACAGGTCACTGAGTATTACCAAGCTTGTGGTTACCACCATGGTTATCTGGGGTGCCATCAAATCCACCAGGACTGAAATAACTGCACGCCTTTTTAATAATAGAGGTGTTGCATCGAACCACCAAAACAAATTTTGTATACCTTTAATGGATTCCCTGACTCTTACCTTACTGTTCTTCTGTCTCTATTTGCTTCTGCACTACTACACCTGGCCTGCTCTTCCCCTCTTTAGCCTGACTTTGGTGCTCCAGGTCTACCAGGGTCTGTCCCTCTCATCTGTTCTCATGTCACTCTGCGTATCATTAGCCATGTACAGCTGGTGCGTCCCTTCTCCAGCTGTTCCAGCTAATGACAGGACCTGGCCTGGGACCAGCAGCTGACTGCAGTCGTGGCTACGGCTCAAGAGCTACATCACATGTGAGCCAGTGGCCAGTAGATCACGTGTAGGGTGCCAAGCCAACAATGACATTTTCCTCCTAAGAACTGTCTATGTATGATTAAGTATGTTAATGAGATAGACCTCCATTGTCTCCCAAAGAAGACAGAAGAGTCATCCAGTTGTATTTTGATGACATAATCTTTAATTTGATTAACACAGCCAGTGATTACACCTTTCCATTCTGCTCGTTCTGCTCCTCCATCCTCCAGCCGGTGACCTGAATATCGATCCCTGGAATGCGTCTGGAGGAGACAGGGAGTGAGGAGGAGCTTGGAAGGGGAAGGCACAGGTGTATCCTATGCTGCTGTATGTAAGTTTGGCCAAAAACTTTGCTGGGAGGCTGA